AAAAAAAAAAAAAAAAAAGAAGCTCAACTGTCATGTCCACAGTACATACTTGGTCGCCCCTGTTGTTTGGTACTGCTCTGCTCGCTCTCTCAGCCCTTCCTCCCCACATCCTCTGCCAGCCCATCCTTTGCTGGAGGGCCTAGCCCTTTCCTTTACACGTGCTTTTCCTGCAGGATCTCATTCACTTTTTCATTCCATTGATCCCCTCTGAGCAGACATCTCCCTGAGCCACATTTCCATTGCAGGAGGACGTCTCTGCCTTAATGTTCTACCTCAAACTCCAAATAACCAAAACTGAACAGTGTTCCCTCCAGAGCTGTTCTGATTCTCTGTTCTTCCAGTGATGCCCGTTGTCTTCCCAGTCCAGGCTAGAGAGTCTGGGAGTCCTTCTTTATTCCTTAGCTAAGTCCTTTTGATTCCAGCTCTGCAGCGGCTCTTAGAACCAACCCTCCTTCCCCGTTAGCACCCTTATCATCTCTAACCCCAATGACGACCGCCAGCCTACCAACTGATGTCTCTCCGTCTAACCTCTACTAATTATTTTAAAGATTTTTCACCACACTCTGTCTTGTGCGGCTTCTCTCTGTGCAGGACCCGTGAATATCTGTGAGGAAATGACTATTCTGCATGGGGGCTTTTTGCTCGCTGAACAGCTGTTCCACCCCAAAGCGCTGACGGAATTGAAAAAGTCTGACTGGGAACGCGTTGGGCAGCCCATTGTGGAGGCCCTAAGGGAGATCTCCTCCGCCACAGCATGCTCCCAGCCCTTTGCCTGGAAGAAGAAAGCTCTGATCATCATCTGGGCCAAGGTTCTTCAGCCCTACCCCGTCACCCCTTCAGACGCTGACACTCGGTGGCAGGAAGATGTGTTCTTCTCAGTAGGCAACATGATCCCTACTATCAATCACACTGTCCTTTTTGAGCTGCTCAAGTCGCTGGAAGCTTCTGGACTCTTTATCCAGCTCCTGATGGCCCTGCCCACCACTATCTGCCGTGCAGAACTAGAGCGCTTTTTGGAGCACATGTCTGTTGACACGTCTTCAAAGGATGTGGCCTTTTTCCTCAGTGTCTGGTGGGAAATGATGAAGCACAAAGGTAATCAGCAGGACCCCCTGCTCTCCCAGTTTAGAACAATGGCCCATAAGTATTTGTCCTCTTCAGATGAGTTCTCCCACCCTCCAAAGAGGTTTAAGTCAGACCCAGATGTGTGTCCCACTATGCCCCTGTTGGCCATGCTGCTCACTGGGCTGAAGCAAATCCAAAATAGAATCCTGTGCCCAGGGATGAAGTGCTGTGCATTAGCCAACTTGGCAGACATGCTGACGGTGTTTGCCCTGATGGAGGACGACCCCCAGGAAGTATCTGCAACCGTGTATCTGGACAAACTGGCCACGGTGATCTCTGTGTGGAATTCGGACACCCAGAACCCATATCACCAACGGGCACTGGCAGAGAAGGTAAAGGAGGCCGAACGGGACATCAGCCTGACCTCCCTGGCCAAGCTTCCAAGAGAGACGATCTTCATCGGGTTTGAGTTCCTGTGCAGCCTGCTGCGGGAGTGGGGGGAGGAGCTGCAGGCCATGCTCACCAGCAGCCAGGGGACAAATTACGACAGCTACCGGCTGTGTGACAGCCTGATGTCCTTCAGCCAGAACTTGAAGCTCTACCTGGATTCTACCAGCTTGTCCAAGGAGGAGAGGCAGGTGGTCTCGGAGCTGGCAGAGTGTGTTGGGGACTTCCTGAGGAAGACCACCAGGGTGCTGAAGAACAACGGCTTTGAGAAGGACATCACCGCCTCGATTGCCATGGCCATTATTGAGCAGAAGATGGACCGGCACATGGAAATGTGCTACATTTTTGCTTCTGAGAAGAAGTGGGCCTTCTCAGACGAGTGGCTAGCCTGCCTGATTAATAACCGGGCCCTCTTCCGAGAGCCAGACTTGGTGTTAAAGCTGCTGGAAACAGTGGTGGAAGTTACCATGACAGACAGAGCCATCCCTGAATCTCAGATCAGACAAGTGATCAGCTTGATTCTAGAATGCTATGCAGACCTCTCGCTGCCAGATAAAAATAAAGTCCTCTCGGGCACCCTGCTCTCCTGGGGGCGGAAGGGTCTCTCTGAGAAGTTGTTGGCTTACTTGGACGGGTTTCAGGAGGACCTCAATACAACTTTTAACCAGCTTGCACAGAGTGCCTCTGAACAGGGCTTAGCTAAAGCTGTAGCTTCTGTGGCCCGCCTGGTAATATTGCACCCGGAGATCACCGTGAAGAAAATGTGCAGCATGGCTGTGGTCAGTCTTGGCACCCACAAGTTCCTGGCTCAGATTCTCACTGCCTTCCCCGCCCTTAGGTTCGTGGAAGAGCAGGGTCCCGATCCGTCCACTACTTTTGTGGTGTCATGCCTCAAAGAAACCGTCTGGACAAAGTTCTCTACACCCAAGGAAGAAAAGCAATTTTTGGAGCTCCTGGGCTGCCTAATGAATCCTGTGAAGCCCCAGGGTATCCCGGTTGCTGCTCTTCTTGAGCCAGATGAGGTGCTAAAGGAGTTCGTCCTGCCTTTCTTGATGCTAGACGTCAAAGAGGTGGACCTCAGTTTGAAGATCTTCATCCAGACTCTTGAAGCAAATGCGTGTTTAGAGGAATACTGGCTCCAGGCCTGCTCTCCGTTCCCCCTCATCTTCAGCTTGTGCCAGCTGCTGGATTGCTTCAGCAAATACTGGCAGCTCCCCAAGGAGAAACGGTGCCTCTCTTTGGATGGGAAGGATCTGGTGATCCATATCCTGCAGATCCTCTGTGAGATTATATTGGCGAATGCTGAGACCTTCTCCCCAGACACCTGGATCAAGTCCCTGTCTTGGCTCCACCGGAAGCTGGAGCAGCTCGACTGGACGGTGCACCTGAGAATGAAGAACCTCTTTGAGGGCCACTTCAAGTGTGAGGTGCCAGCCACGCTTTTTGAGATCTGTAAGCTTTCTGAGGACGAGTGGACCTCCCAAGCCCACCCTGGGTATGGTCCGGGCACAGGGCTTCTTGCCTGGATGGAGTGCTGCTACATGTCCAGCAGCATCTCTGAGCAGATGCTGGCCCTCTTGGTGGTAGATGTGGGCAACCCTGAGGAGGTCAGATTGTTCAGCAAGGGCTTTCTGGTGGCCCTGGTACAAGTCATGCCTTGGTGCAGCCCCCAAGAGTGGCAGTACCTTTACCAGTTGACCAGGAGACTGTTGGAGAAACAACTCCTGCACGTCCCCTATAGCCTGGAATATATTCAGTTTGTTCCTCTGCTCAACCTGAAGCCCTTTGCCCAGGAGCTCCAGCTCTCCGTACTCTTCCTGAGAGCTTTCCAGTTTCTCTGCAGCCAGAGTTGTCGTAATTGGCTTCCTATGGAAGGCTGGAGCCATGTAGTCAGACTTCTCTGTAACAGTCTGACCGATCTTCTGGACTCCGTTAGGTTGATACAGTCAGTTGGCCCTTGGGCTCAAGAACAGGACCTGACCCAGGAGACCCTGTTTTTTTATACCCAGGTATTCTGTCATGTTCTGCACATCATGGCCATGCTCCACCAAGAGGTGTGTGAACCGCTGTACGTTTTGGCCTTGGAAATCCTCACCTGCTACGAAACCCTGAGCAAGGCCAACCCTTCTGGTAGCTCCTTGCTCCAGAAGGTAAATGAGCAGCGCTTCCTGAAGTCCATCGCTGAGAACATTAGCCCTGAGGAACGGCGCCAAACCCTGCTGCGGAAGATCAGCAACTTCTGATGTTTGTACTTCAGAGAACGGCAGGGCCCTGACTTGGTGGGGTCTACAGGGCTTGAGCTGAGAAACACGAGCTTTTCGGTTATGTGAAATTGTACACAAGCTAAAAAATATATATGGCAATAACTGTAAAGAAAATAGTTTCTTAGGTGTTTGTAACATACAAATTATAAAATTCTCTTTTGAGTTTCATCGTCTCTCTTTTGAGTCTTTCTTGTCAATAGTCTAGGCTTAGATATGCTCTGCGATTGGGCTCAACTAGAGTCTTAAAGAACAAAGCAAGCTGTGAGGAACATGTTCATAACTGGATTTATCCACCTTAGAATTTGGCAAAGAAGTCCAAAGGTGAAACCACCCAAGTGGAAAAATTACAGGTATTCTGTTCTTCTGCACTGCAGCCCTCTTCAAGAGCCATTTCGTGGTGTCTTGGAAGGGGCAGCCAGGGGGAAAAACTCTCTTCTGCCACCAGTTGGCCATGTATTTGTGAACCCAAGAGGCCTGCCCCACTGTAAAAGGAGAACACTGGACCAAGAAAATTAAATGTCGGGGAGTAGACTAATAACCCCAAGAAAATGGGTGTGTTCTGAATGGAGGACTTCAGCCATACAGTCTGAACTCCATTTAGTGGATCCAGGAGGGGCTGTGTGAAACAGTCTGGTGAACACCAGAGGTGGGTTTAAAGGATGGGTACAATTATCTTCTGCCTGGGGTGGGCTGTCCTGGTTTTCAGGGGTGAGTGGGAGCAGTGGTGTACACAGAAGCTTAAAAATGTGACTTTCCCATGTCCAGTGTGTATCACAGAACTAGGAGAACTGGTTGGGGAGGTGTTTAATTTGAGAGGCAAGGAGGGAAAAAGGATATGCCCCATCACCTTCATACGCTTACCCGCACTCTAAATGAGGTGTTATTCTGGTCCCCTCCCAGGTCCTAATTGGGATTCACGTAGGAAGGGAAGACTGCACCAGAAGTTGCCTGACCACTGGGCTTAAACTCTAGGACCCAACAATGTACTCCGGAACCCCCAGAAACATGTGAGAGTAAGGTCTGAGCCAGGCCCTCCTGAACGCTGCAAGTGTGACCACACCCCTCCACACCCTGCTTCTGCCAGTTGCGTGGTGGGTGTAAGCACAGACCAGAAACGACAGCACACAGCGGGGAGGCCAGTCAGGTCACAGGGTGGGTCTGAAAAGAAGTTGGTATTGATGTATTTCACAAATGAGAAGAAGCTGGGAAATATTAGTGCACTTTAATCACCACGGGGGTGATTTATAAAGATATACTGACAGTAAACAAAAACGGTAAAAAAAAAAAATTACAGCATTTGACATTTTTTAAATGGCACCCATTAAAGACTGAAATAGAATTTGAGACACTGTTACATATTGAGTACTTTACAAGTTCATGGACAACAAAGAATTAAAAGGCACTTTAAAACTTCTAGATTTTTACTACCATTTGAAAAAAAACTTCATGGTAGCAGTTTCTAAAACCCATCCTAGTGGGTAGGGAAGAATTAGTGTTGGCACCAGAGGATCCTATTTGCAAACGGTAGCTGAGTCAGTCCACGGGACGGATTTTGGCCAGGGCTATCGTGCACTCTTGTTCTCCAGCCTTCTGCGGCAAAGCGGCAGTCCGCTCCCGTGGGAACAGGCTTTGGAACAAGCCCTGGCTTACCGGGAGGCAGCCCGGATGAGACCTCTCACGGTCTGAAATACAGAAGCCCGTTTCCACGTCCTATGAAAAGGACAATGTCAAAGAGTGGGGTTCCCCAGGAAAGAGCTCAATAGGCACCATGTCGCTTTACCCCTGCAGTTTTAACAACAGCATCCTGTGCGTGTGGACATGGGGAAAGCTGGGTTTGAGGGGACATGCTAAGAAAGGAATAGTATTTGTGAGTTTACGACAAGCTCACAAGTTCGACACTGGTCTTCCCAAGTCAGCCTGCAATGCGCTGACCTGTGGGCCTCCCTAACTACTCAAGTGCTTCAGGATCCCCTCCCTGCCTCTCACCCCCCTGCCGGGGAGACTTCTGAACGGAAGTCAGGAGTCATGGGAATTCAGTGTTGGCACGCGGATGACAGGATGAGGCACAGGACCAATGGGTTATCTAGTAAACAGTAAAAAACTACCTACCCACAATGATTTACCCAGGCCAACATCACAAGAACGTATTTCAAGAACCAAGTTCATCACTTGCTGCTGCTGGCCCAGTAAGTGTAGATACTGCCCTGAGTGGTCGGAAAGGTGGGTAGCCGCCCATATTCGGGCCAGGCGGGTGCCCAGACACTTCACCCTAGTCCACCTGTCTCCACACCCCATGCTTCTTTGAGGTACACAAAGCAAGCAAGCTGGGAGGAACATGTTCATAACTGGATTTATCCCAGAATCCTTGAGGTAAGACTCAAGGAAGGATCCTGGGGCTTGCGTTAAAACCACCTTGCTGCCAGTGGAGGTCTGACAGGATCCAATCGCTGTTACTTAGAAAAAAAGTGCTTTTGCAAAAGGGGCAGGTTAGAAGAGGGAGGTCAGACGAAGATTCTTTAGAAAAACTCAAACCCATCTGCTTATCAATACCCAAAGGGCTGAAGCCACCCAGGGCACAATTTGGTCCGTGGGAATACTGAGCGGAGGAGGCACCCTCACTGCCTGACTCCCGGGAGCACCTAGCTGTCCTTTTTGTCTGGGGGGGGGTCAAAGAGCCGGGATGCCTTCTTGCACAGCAGAGAGAACCAGTAGATCTGGGGAGCGATGAGGAAGGCATTGGCCACATTGCAGTAGAAAGGGATACTGGACGGCACTTGGAGTAGGCTTAGTCCCTGCTGCTGGCCGTACGACCAGTACATGAAAGGGAAAAGAAGGATCCGACAGGAAAGGAAGGTGGTCAGCGTGAGGATTCCGTTAGCTTTGAACAGGAGGGTATGCTGCTGCTTCAGCTGCAGGAGAAAGGGGAGGAGAAGGCCGTCAGCGAGGCTGCACCTTCTGGGAACCACCCGCCGGGGGCCCGCAGCAGGAAAGCCAAGCGTCGGGTCTCCTGACACGTGTGGCAAAGCTGGCTGAGCGCTGCTCCCTTTATATGTGCACGCAGGCTCGTAGTTTTTCCAACAGTGATACTGAGTTTGGCCTAAGCCCCCCAGCCGACAGGCACACAGGAACAGTGGATTTAACAACAAAACAAAACAAAAACCACCAAAACAAAAAAAATCTGCAGCCAGGAAAAAATACCTAAAAAACTATCAAATTTGAATCAAAAGTACAATTTCACCCCCCCCCCCAGGCTCAGAAGACCAACTGACCTTTGCATCTGTTGAAGGATCTCCTGTCCCACCATTCCTAGCGCTAAGGGGTTTCCACAAGCCCCCCAGTCCGCCAGGGGAGAGCGGGGCCCGCTTCCTCCCGTCACTACGGCCATGGCATCTATACCTGAATCAGAACTCGGCCCAGGGACACAAACGGAGTGCTCAGTTCTGCCATGAAGATGCAGCCAACAAAGAAGTCCCCAAGGTCTCCCCTGAGCCTCTGCAGAGGAAAAGGGAAGAAATGGGAAATAAGAACTAGAGGTTAAGGAACCACCAGGAGGAAAATTCTAACGAGGGCTATTGGAAAGGGTAGTCATGAGAGACCGTGAAGGGAAAGGGAAATGCTAAGTGAGTGAGTACAGACCTGGTTAATACTCTGCTGCTTCCATAGCAATAGCACTTGGAGGGTCAAATCCCCTAGGATCCAGAGACAACTTCAGAGATCAGCTGATCGCATCACACCCCAAGCTTTTTCTGAATTTCAATGTCAGCCGGAAGGAACCGTGTAGCCTACTTTTGGGTATCTACCTTAGTCATGCCAAGGGCACTTGGCCAGTTTAATTCAACAACATATGTGCCAGGCCCCGTGCTAGAGGTCAGGGTCCCAACGCAATCAGGAGAAACTTCTTTAAGAATGTAATGTACTCCCCACCACTCCTTTTATCTTGTCAAAAAACAGGACAGCACAGAATAGCAGCTCTGTCACTGACTTCCACCGAGTACAAGAAGTAAACTCTTAGAGCCCCCAGTTTCTTCATCTCTGCTACAGGGCGAATAATATCTAACTGTCATTTCTAATAACGCCTAATTATTAGTAGAAAGCGATGAGCTTTGCAGTCCAGCACCTGTCACTCAGGAATTACTAACTGCCTTTCTGCATTCCCGTCTCTCTTCCTCGTTGGGGGCGGGGGAGGGGGGCTTCTGGGGAAAAGGACCCGAGGAGAAATGAGAAGGCCGTCTGCTTGGAGAGCGAGCTTTCGTGCCATTGGTACAGCCCATTCGGCACTCGTTGGCATTGCTAGAGCAAATCACCAGGTGACTGAGCTGCTCTCATTTTTTTAAAAACAATTTTTAGGTTGTTTTGTATTGTACTGGATACTGTTTTTATATCGTATAAACGGAAGGCAGAGCCTCTGACGGAGCCTAGGGCATCACAGAGGGCTGGGGGCCTGCAGAAAGGGTGACGCTGGTAAGGAGGACCAGCAACACTGCAGATGGCACTTCTGTCCTGCGGGATCTGCCGGGGAGGTTTTACTCCGCAAGCAACTGGCACCGGAGGAAGGGGAAAGAAAGAGGGACAGTCCAGGCTCGCAAGTAATGGTCAAGATACCCAGTTTAACAGGAGGAAACGAGGGTCCAAGTCTGCTGATGGCTGTTCTGGAAAGCCGTACCTGGGCAACTGGCACAAGGGCAAACAGAATGACCGCGTGGTGCGCGATCATGAGGCGGTTTTTACTCAGGAAGTTCCGAAAAGTGGTGAGCGAGTGTCTGTGGTTCCGGTCTCTGGTTCGGTACCACTCACAGAGGTACATGGCGTAGGAGTCGTAGATCATGTACGGAATCAAGAACCAGACATACTCTCGGGCAAGCCAGTGCCTAAAAGAAAGCATATGAACAGTCCCTGAGAGGATGATGGATGTCACCTGCGAAGGCCCAACGTCAGCCGCTTCTCAAACACATCCCCTTCAGCTCTGTACCTAATCAGCTATTTTTACTCCAAATTCTTTACGAGGAAGATGCTGACAGTGATAAATAAGGTGAGTGAAGAGTTTTCTCTCAACTGCGAGGCCAATTAATAAGTGTCAGGGTCAGAAAGCAGGGGACTCACTCAGCACCATGTGTTTCAGTAACTAGCTTCACCATTTCCCTGATTTAGCTACTCCTTTCTAATGGATTTTTCTGGCATTTTGTGATATAAGCTAACTTTGATATAGATATCTCTATAAATGATTCATTAGCCCCACCAAGAAACTTGTTTGAAGGTATCCCAAATGCCCAATCCAATATTTCCAGTTTAACTCCACTTAGTTGCTCAATAGTTCGGAGTTTCCTTGTGTATCTGCTTGCAACCCCACTTAGGGAGTCTCTGGGAAGCTCTTTACAATTCTATGGCTAATCCCAATTCCGCTCATTAAGAAAAATACATCTGGGGGCGCCTGGGTGGCTCAGTTGGTTAAGCGACTGCCTTCGGCTCAGGTCATGATCCTGGAGTCCCGGGATCGAGTCCCACGTCGGGCTCCCTGCTCGGCAGGAAGTCTGCCTCTCTCTCTGACCCTTCCCCCTCTCATGCTCTCTATCTCATTCTCTCTCTCAAATAAATAAATAAAATCTTTTAAAAAAAAAAAAAAAGAAAAAGAAAAATACATCTGGAAAGGAGCCCGGAGTTCAAGGACTACCTTACAGCAATCAGATACCAGAAAAGAAGCTGGGACAAAAGACAGTTTTCCCATTTACTTGCCCAAAGGGGTTAGATCCGTATTTGCTGAGTCTAAATGACTGCTTATCACAGTCCCAGAGCAGATTAGAAGGAAAGTCTCTAATTTCTACAGTTTTGTTCCCAATTGAGAAATAATCATTCTACAGAAAATGTGGGAAAAATCAAAATAGAAATCATATACTCTGCTGAGAAGGATTGGCTTCACTCAATCAGCACATTTTTACTGAGCACCCATGTGTCAGATAGAAGAAACCGTTTAGTTTCATGGCTTGGCATTCCCAAACTACCTGAACCCCAGCATCACCTGCAGTGCTTGGTAAGGACTCTACTCTCCAGAGACTCGACATGCTAGGCCTCGGGAGCTCAAATCTGTATTTTTAACTTTGTCCCAGGTGATTTCCTAAGAAGCCAGTCCACTGAACTGCAACACTGGCAACATACTCTAGCGAGGGTGCCATTCAAATTTCTGTTCTGAACAGGTCCACACTTACCACGGCATGACTGGATCATTACGAAGCAATGAAACAGGCAAACAAGTAAGTAATGGCAAATACACTAGATGTGTATGTGAATTCATTAGCCAGGTTCCATTTAGGTAAAAAGGTGTGATATTTATTCTACTGCCCATCTATGGTCTCCAATTGCTTTCTTGAAGCAATTCCAAGTAAAAAAGCTATGAAGAACGACTAAAAGCTTAGCTGAAATATAACCGGCCCCTCCCCTTGAGTGGGGCCTAGGATTTTAATATTTTGCACACCGTACCAATTCAATGAGATCTGAAATTGTGTAGAATTCTCTGAAGACTTACTAACAAGAGGTTTGGATTATAATCTTTTTTTTTTTTTTTAAAGATTTTATTTATTTGACAGAGACACAGCGAGAGAGGGGAACACAAGCAGGAGGAGTGGGAGAGGGAGAAGCAGGCTCCTGGCCGAGCAGGGAGCCCGATGCGGGGCTCGATCCCAGGACCCTGGAATCATAACCTGAGCCTAAGGCAGACGCTTAACGACTGAGCCACCCAGGCGCCCCAAGAGGTTTGGATTATAATCTTAACTACCACCAGCCTGGGACTTAACTTTCTTTGTAGTATCAGGATAATTCTTGTTTTCCTTTCCTGACAAAGTTCTTGTGTGGATTAAAAAACTAGAAGTGTTAAAGTCCTTTTAAATTAAAAAGCACTATCCAAATATAAGTGCTTAAACTGGTAAAATTGCCTAGGGCTATGACTCTTAGCCCGTTTAGGGATCTGGACTCCTTTAAGAATCTCCTGAAATCTTTGGTCCACCACCACATTATGCATATAATTCAGGGGGACCTATAGATACATATTCTGTATGAAGGCATAAGATGAAAAGGCATATAATAGGGGCACCTGGGTGGCTCAGTCGGTTAAGCATCTGCCTTCAGCTCAGGTCATGATCTCAGGATCCTGGGATCGAGTCCCATGTCAGGCTCCCTGCTCAGTGGAGAGCCTGCTTCTCCCTCTGCCCCTCCCCCACTTGAGTGCAGTCACACTTCTCTCTCAAATAAATAAAATCTTAAAAAAAAAGGCATATGATACAAAAATATTTGAATGTATAGCATATGAGCCCCAAAAGGCCTTTTTTTTTTTAAAAAGATGACCTAGGTGCCTTTAGAACATCCTTACGCATACACGCGAAGGCGGAGGGCACAGAAAGGTGTCTGTCTCCATTCTGTGCCCAGAGCATCTAAGGCATAAAGATACACAAAAGGAGGAACCTGAAAACCAAACTCAGGTGTGCTACCATGATCCAGCCCCTAAAAACACAGAGCTTCTGAGGGGAAAACACAAATATCTTCTGAAATGTATAGTGGCTGCCTGCTGCTTGCCCTCATATCAGCTCAAAAAAATGCTGCAAAGTCACATTTGTCACTTTAATCTTTGCAAAGGAAGCTGGTTTCAAGTTTGATGTGACAAACGGGGCAGTGAGGGAACTTGTTGCATGATCAGAAAATGCTCGATGAAAATAAAAAATTGAACCCAGCCAAGCAAATGCTGTTAGCCTTTGGTGTGTGCAGTCAAGGTCACTTGACCTATCTTGTCTCAGCATCTATAATTCATTGCTGATAGCCGGTTTTGTCTAAAAAGAGGCATAGGAAGAAAAGCACAAAAGTCACAATGGCAGGACCAATCCCAAGTAAGATCCAGACACTGAATTTGCAGGCCACAGGGAAATGGATACCCCACTCCTGCTCCCATCCCATTCCAGTCTCAACTCGTAAAAAGCAGGACACTTTGCAGAGTCAACATGCGAAAGTGACTAGGAAAGGCTGTGAGACTTTCCCTGCACATTTGACTATCACTCTTTAACGAGAAGAAGGTAAGAGTGGTTCTAGGAAGACGGGTGAAAATAATGGCTTTTTAGAAAAAAGGGGGGGGTCCACAATTGCCCAGGTCTAAACACTATACCAAGTAGACCGCCCTGGTCTTTATGATTTGTTTCACTAGATGCACATTTCTTGACCTGCCTCTGGACTGAGCTCTAATTTGGGTACAGGTCAGTTTCCTGAAAGCACTAGAAACCTTTTCATTGCCTTTAGCAAATCCAGAGGAAACAAGGGAGCAGCACTTGTAAAGAAAGGATTGGTGGATTTGTTCCTTTCCACAGAGGGTCTCTGCTAACCACACTGGACGTATGTTGGCCAAAAAATGCTCCAGGGCAGGACTTGAGTGAAATCATTTAAAAGACCCAAAAGCCAGACTCCCACTTCCAAGTAATTCTCACACTTAGGTATCTCATAAAGAACTTGAATCGATGGGCCACCTTAAATTAGACTTAGACCCTGTCATTCTCTAGTATTTCTTCAGTTTACTTACTCCTAAGTGGGAGAGGCTGAAAGAGGTAAGGCGAGGAGGAGGGACTGATTATGGTGCCCGAGTTCTCCCACCAGTCAGCTACCTAGCCACATGTGCTGCTAAAAGAACGAGCGCCTGGGAGCCGCTCAAATGTGGAAACTTCAACAAAGCTCAGCGCCGTCGTAGGTGCTGCTTTCACCTGGCATTGGATGTTACCTGTCGGTGATCACGTCGCTACAGGAGCGGATGATGACGATCCCTGACCCGGTGGCCAACACAGCCTGCACTGAAGAAACCAGCCTAACGTGCGGCAGAAAAGAAAAAAAAAAAAAAGAAAGAAAAATCCAGTCCAGTGGACAGCGTGAAGCCCAGAGCCTTCAACCTGCCTCTCCCCTGGGCTGCCAGTGCGGGGAGGGAGAGGGTACGCCGCCGCCGCGCTCCCGACCCCAAGGCAGCGGGCAGACGGACCAGCAGCTTCCCGCCCGGTCGTGTCCCGCGCGGGCGCCCTCCATCCTCCTCCCTCTCCCTCCCCGGGAGGACGCCGGGCTCTGCGGAGAGCTCCGGCCGGCGCCCCGGAGGGGCAAGGCACCAGGGAGGCAGCCCCCTCGCTTCCTGTCGCCCCCCTTTTCCGCCCTCGGCGCGGCGCAGGGC